GCGCCAAGAAGCTCATTAGTAAGCGGGAAAAGCCATAAATAAAAACCCTCACCTGCCGATTACTTGGGCAAGACGTCCCCAGACAGGAAACCCGCGGTCCGTAAAAGGGTAAAAGGCAAACGACTCACCTGCTCTTTAAATAATGTGTGCAGAAAACTTTGTCAGCTGTCTTTCAGGTGGGCTGAAACTGAAAATTCGGTTCACCGCAAACGTTACTGCAATCAAATGAGGACAGCGGATGACTGCACTTCCGAGGCGCGAACGGGAAACCTCATTTATGTCTATATTTACTGGGAAAAAGTAAGAGGAATTCTTTTGCGCCCCCCCGCCACGTCCTTCTTCTCTTAAGTTGCGGCCCCAACGGTGAGCCCAACGCTAGCCTCCCACGCAGACGTTCTTAGGGGTTCGTCACGCGTTCCTGCCCCACGAGGCGGGAACGCGTGACGAACCCCAGGACTGTCTTGGATCTCCTTACATGGGGCGAAATAGTCAACTACAACCCTTCCGGACGGTTACAAGTTCATGAATTGAAAACCGAACACTGAAGCTTAAAACTCATTTTATCACAGAACGATTAAGGAATATAACTCGTTGCCTAGTCAACGAGTAACCCCTCTTTTTCCTCAAGCCTGAATGCGACAGCGAAATAAGCGAGAGCGAGTGAGATTGCCAAACGCGAGAAGAAGCGAAACCCTGAAGGACTGATTGAAGGGTAAAATTCCGCGAGTTTTGCGCCCAGTCCTTCGTAACAGACCAGCGTAAAATAGGACCTGCAGATATGACCAGATCCCGGCGTCCAAAAATATCGTCCCTCTTTGCCAAGACAGAAACAATCTGGTGTGGCGGAAAGGGTTCTTAGGTGGGAAACCGACAAGCGACATGGCTTTGAGGACAAAAGGATAGTTGGAAACTGCGACAGCCCAAAGAAAAGCGCAAATACAATAGAAAAATACCGACAGCAACATGGCTTCCTCCTCAATTAACGAAACGACCGGTTTGAAATTCAGACTGAGGACTTGCACCTCCCCTCAAATTGCCTAAAATGATCCTCCTAGCTTCGCGTGTCACCTTCCTCCCATGCGGCGATTTTCAAGAGTGCTCGCGTATTCCGCCTAAGGCGAGGTGAATCAGAGTACTCATTGCCTAGCAATGTCCCAGAGATTAGAATAATCACATGCAGTAGCCCATGACCATAGGCTCCTTTCAAATGACTTACATTTGACATAAATTTGTTGTTTCATTTATTCAACATCACGTCATTTCTAGATTTAAAATCATGAACTTTGTATCATTAGGATTTTTTATGTCTTGCAGTGATAGACATCTCCCGTGCTTCAACGAACGGAAGAACGAACAAACGAATATGGATGCCATGAGAAAAAAAAATTCACAACGTTTGGAGTATACTTCGTCATGAGCCTATGCGCTCCTGCCTTCGTGAAAGGTCAGGTTGAGAAATCTATGATCTTTCATATTGGAACACTTCAGAACCGAAACTGTCTCAAGGCAGCATATAAAGTTTTTGCAGAAATTACGACAAAGTATGTATTCTTGACGGCGTTTCAATTATTGTAACACCAGTGCTATGGAAAGGAAGACAACTCTGATAGTGATACCTGGGCGGTTTTTTCGGGAGCACGACTGAGCGGCGAAGCCACAAAAACGCGCGAAAGCCCTCGCCCGCCTTTATTATTTAGCGCAACCAAAACAACCAAAACCGCCATGCCACAGAGGCTAATACCCTCCCTGTTTAACGAATATTCGATTGACCCCTGTTGTGCTAAAATATGTAGCGTATGCTTGTTTGTGGAAGTTTTATTTGTAGTTATTCCTCTACAATTGTTGGTCTTTTGCCCTGTGGGATCATTGTTACAGTCAAACCCCGGCCTGTTAATACGGACACGAGGTGTCTGTATTAAGCGGGTTGAATTTTGAAAAATGTAAGGGCTTTCATTTACCAGGGACAAAGCAAACCGTCATGAGGTTTTCGTATTAAGCGGATGTCCGTAAACCGGGGTTTGACTATATTAGCTGTGGTCACACCACAGGGCAAATTCATCAAAAATCTCCCGAGGTAATGTTATTTATTCAATCAAAATGTTTGTCAGGTTGTGATTAATAACCAGCTAACGTTGACTAATCTTGGAAGACGTTTGCGATTAATCCCGCACCCATATCTCCCGCGGCCAAAGAAAAGGGAGATCTCTTCGGGGGATGGGGGGTGGGTGGGGCGAAATACAAAAAAAATATTCGGGCAAGAGAAAATTAAATGAAAAAAATTCATGCAGGCCAATTAATCCTAAAAAATGTTCATACTGTGGCCTAAAAAAAATTCATACCAAAATTCCTGCGGCTCGAAAATTCCACTTCCTCCCCTGCCCCATAACTTTTCTAATGGTCCGTCCCTTAAGGCTGTCGTGGTCCCGTCGGCGACGTGAAACTGGTCTGTTACGTTTGGCGCAGATATCCGCCCTGGTTTGGCGTGGTGGCGAAAACGTGAGTAGTTAACTTTAATTTCAATCAGGTTTGTTGCGTTTAGCAACCACAATTTTACAGATTATCTTTTGGAAATTGTCCCTGTTTTCTTTGAGTCACATTTCAAGCTCGATTTCTAAGCTCTGTTATCTAAACTTACATCTTTATAATGTTTCATGTCACAGAGTCAGCATCCAAAATGGCAAAAAGCAAACCGTAAGTGAGCTTTTCATGGACAAAATTTTCCTACTAGCAAAATAAAAGTATGCAAACCAAAAATATGAACTCCGATATTTTAATTGTGTCTTTTTAGTTCACTTTTCGTTTTTCGTATAAATGAAACGTATTGAATATTTTTTAGAATAGTAGGTAATACCATGTACTATTAAACGTGAGCATACTGAAATAAAGTTGTTGTTGTTGTTGTTGTTGCATGCAAGTATTTGCCACAAAACGAGAAACTCTTCATCCGATAACAAGTTGTCTGCATAGCAAATAAGCATTATTAAAATTCTCTCAATTCTTTATGTGAGGCCATATTTTTCTCTTCGGTAGTGTTCTAAGGTGGCGTCCTTCTGAGTTCACTGCGATCTTCATGTTCGAATTTTGGAGGGAAGGAACGGCTGCGTAGTTCCAGGCTTGCTCTGCCAGTGCGGTCGCCGTCGCCTCGAAACAGCTCCTAGCTAGCTCCTTATTCCCTCAAGCTGCAATTGAGACAAACGCGGGTTTGATCATCGTTCTTTTTAATACCTCAAAAACTTTTATACTGTCGTGTCCTCTTCAGGTAATAATTTTGAACCGAGTAACCGCAGTAAATGCAAAAACAACAAAAAAAGACCAGCCGCCTGAGTTGGTTTAAATTATAAAAGTTAATGAGAACATCTCGCAGATCATGTTGCAGTCAGTTTGTTGTTTCTGTAGAACGTATATTTGAAGTAGGGCTTGTGGTCTTTAAGAGGATTTAAATGAAGAGCCAGCCAGTGGAAAAATGTATCTACTTGAGGGACTTTTTTTCGGTATCCAATTAAGTAAGAAAGGTATCTGTTCCAGCAATGTTATTGAGACTTAAAGGGAGTTCTGAACGCTGAATCCGAAACAGAAAGAAATCAACCAAACCTGCACATGTGATCTTTATATGAACTTGAGTTATTTAGGTCGAATGCCTATAATTTTGCGGTTTAATTTTTTTGGTCGGTTCAAATTAATCATTGCGGCACAATTTAGATGCCTACTATCTGATGATAATACTGGTATTCCTTAGGATTCACCCCCACGTAACAGGAAGTACATACACACGCTTTTAGTTTACTCTCTAATTTCCCTCCACTGGAGGTCTAGTCTAATTTTGTTATTTCCAACTTTGACAAAATAAAAGGTCAGTGGTTTAGAAATTCTCACCAATTTCTAAGAGACTTGATTTTTTTTAAATTTTTCTCGAGGTATGATTAGACCAGGTCATATTCGGTCTGCTCATCGCAGATTTTACTCTTAATACCTACGAATATGATTTTAGTCAGTATTGGACCTCATCTTTTTCAAGCGTGATGCTAGAGGACTAAATTCCCTCAAAAGCACAAAAGTGCAGCTCGAAGTGGCTATTTTTTGCTTTGTACATAATCATTGTACTGTATGTCGATTCAGCAAAAATTCCTCGTAAATTTATCCCATTGGGGCACAATTACATACGTCAACATCTTAAAGTGCTGTTTTAAAAAGATTCAATGCCGACGCCTGAAAGAGGGCGTGTCTTTTACTTTTAAAGGTTCACCCCACGTGTTTAGAAACGATATTATAATAAGGCTTTAAACGGGCCCCCATTTTTCAGTTTCATAAACCTAGACTTTCCTTTCTACAAATAAGGAGCACCTGTTTTGCCAAGGGGTATTCGAAATGTTTTCAAGTGGTGTTTTTAGTGACTTTGTGTTCTTGATATTGGTCGTCAGCTTTCACGCGAAAAAAGGTGAGCGGAAAATTTTAAATTGGGGAAACAATATTTCAAATGTTGTATGGGATTTACAGCCTAGTTCAACTTCCTCTAACTCATCCTTGACACGAAGAGCTTCGTGTCCATAGATGCCACGTAGACTTCAAATTATCGTATTTTAAATCAGCAAACAAATCATGATGTGATTCAATTGTTTCCGATTAATGTAGATCTTCTAGCATAATTCGAAACGCCAGAAGTAGGTTGTGTGTTTGTTGATTGACCTGTAATTCACTAACCAAGGTTGACCTTAGTGAGTGGGTCTAATACAGAAAATAACATTTGATAAAATCACAAACTTTTGATGAACTATTTAAAAGCTGAACGAAAGTTTGTTTCATCATTGATGTGTCACACTTCCATACGTTAATCTTTAGGAGAACTTCAGTAAATGTTACTGATCATATTTGGTTTGTTGTTTATTAAGCGTTCAAGGAACTCCATCTAATTGGAGAATTTCATTTTCTTACTAGCTTTCGAATATAAAGTGCGAGTTAACCGATTCAAGGTCAATGATAATCAAAAGTAATATTTGCAAAGAGGTTTACTCGCGCGCTATTGAGAGGTTGCTTAAAATTCAGAAAGGACGTAATTTGCGAAGGTTAACTTGCAAGATTTCCCAAAGCATTAGGGACCGCATGCTTTGTTGCCAAGTTGTTCTACTGAAAGCATGAATCCACTGGGTCGGCCTTAACTCTTCGCTCTGAAGAAGTGTTTGCTCTTGAAAGCTCAGCCTTTGAATCTATTTATGGTGCCAAATTGACTTTATCAATTGCATCAACTCAATTGATAAATTTTGATAAATTTTCGTGTTTTACTACTCAGACCCGCCGACACACCAGTTTCTTCCGAACCCTATAATGTCAAAATTCAAATTCTTATATGTTGCCCCTATATGTTTTTAATAGAAGTAGTGGGAGAGTTTGATGAATTATCACTGAACTAGATTCATCTTCTGTGATCATTTCCTCAGTTCTCATGACCAATCTGTTTTATAAAGCATTGATTTTACAAGGAGAAATTTCAAGCTGGTCACCCTTAAGGCTTAAAGGGTTAATTACTGTTGAACAGATTGCTAATTCTAGGTTACAAGTATTTCTTATAAATACATAATTGTAGTGTGTTGCAACTGTTACCATACACTCAATTTACATTTTTCCTTCTCAACCGTATTAGAATATGCTGCAATGGTAAAAAAAGATGTGTACGTGTCACGGCACTTTGGGAACGATTCTCAGTTTTGTGGATCCATTGCTGAACCTTGCAGAACGCTCGCACGGGGCATAGAGATTGCTGACCATAATGATCGTGTTCTCCTGGATGGAACATTGACCAAATCAAACCCATACAATTGCACAACAGGCAAACCTAGGCGTGTTCTCTTTGAAGGCAATGGCTCCATTTCAATACATGTCAGCCTTGAAATAACTGCAATATCTTCACCTGCCTATATGTCTTGTGAGAAGCTACTGCAGTTCATTGGTTTACCATCCAGAGGAAAAACAATGAATGTTAACATCTCGGGTATCGTTTTTGTGAACACCTCATTAAAATTCGTTGATTCTTCTGTTTCCTTTGTACACTGCAGCTTTCGTCAAGCTGTCAATCAGATTGAAATAACATTGGCTTTCCAACAAACTGCTTCATTGACAGTAGAAAGTTCCATATTTTTCAACAACGCGGGTTGCATTCGAGTAGAATTGACAAGGCATACTACTAATGTGGCGATCAAATTAAACAAAGTGAGGTTTTTGCAAAACAGCCCTTTCTTGGAGCAGGAAGGTGGTGGAATCTCCATTTATAGCAAAACGCAGAATGAGGCCAAAAAAGTGTCTGTTTCTGTATCTTGTAAAAATACAGTATTCTCAGGCAACACAGGTCCTTTAATTACGAATAACGCAAATGTTTCAGAAAGCAACGAAGTTTACCAGGATGTCAAATTTCTAAGAAACTATGGGTTAAACCGTACAGCTGGAGAAAGTCTATACTTCTCCATGGCAAAAAGCACGGTGTGTATCTTCGATAACTTTGTATCTACGGGAAATACAAACTCCAGATGTGTTGAATTTCGTTCTTATAAAGTTAAGCTCGAAGTTCTCAACTCACACTTTGGAGGGCACACTCTGAGCTCAGTAGGATCATGTGGCGGAGTGTTCCTGGTGAAAGCAAAACACTCTATGATCGTGATAATCAACGAGTCATATTTTAGCGGAAATAAGGCCGACAACGGTGGAGCATTGGCACTTAACAGCACTGAAGCAATAATAAACTTAATAGTGGTGAAATCGAACTTTACAACAAATTCAGCCGCACGTTACGGTGGAGTGCTATTCGTTGAGAGCAAACGTGGACCTGTCAATTTCAGGGCAAGTCATTCCACCTGGTTGGCAAACTGCGGTTCCGCGGTTTTCATTGCTCCATGTTCTAAGACCACTGTCGTAGTAGAAAGTTGTAAATTTATCAGTAATTATCCTGACAGGTGTTATGGAAACTTCGTTGTTAGAAGTACTGTTGGATTAATACAGGTATCACTCACCCAGTGGAGGAGGAATTCGCAAGGTATCTATGTAGAATGCAACTGTGTCGTGAACTTTACAAAGGTGAATGTTACAGGATGCAAAGGGAGAGCGTTGACCATTTTCTCTAAAAAGGGAACAAATACAACAGTTCCTATGAAGCTTTATTTTGATCAATGTTTGTTCCGTGCAAACAAGGAAAATGACATAAGCATTTCCTCCACGAATAATTATTTGGAGCTCTCTCTTTCATTGATCAATTTCTATGAAAAGAAGGTCATAAAGGGTCAAGGATATAGTGCATTGGCAGTTTTAGTGGGGGATACTGCCCTTAGGTCGCAAATACTGATGGATAATATTCATATTGAGGATTTTGTTGGGGCTGCATCAGTGTCTCTTCGGTTAGAAGGAGCGGAGAACGTTATCACTCTAAAGAACAGCAAGTTCCGCAACATTAAAAGCTATTTCTCAGAAAGATACCACACAGAAGCTAGCCCATTGTCTTTCATTGTGCGATATGATCACCTTCATCATAATATCTGCTCACGCCCGTATGTGAGCTATCAATACCGAAGTAGTATAATAATCGAGAATACGTCTTTTGTGGATAATATCGGACACATGTCGGGTGGTGTCTATGGGCAAAATGGGAACATAACTATACGCTATTGCACCTTTGAAAATAACTTTGCTATCCAAAGCGGCGGAAACATCCATGTCACGGATGGGACTGCAGCAATTCAGATTGAAAATTCCTACTTCAGACAAAGTTTGGAGGAGAAGACTTTTGCAAATGAAACGTACGTTCACGATACATCAATTTATTCTGAGAGCACTGGTCCACTTCTTCTGCAAAAGACACTCGTTGTAACGGACTTGGAGAAAAGTTCGTATCGCCTTTTCACCGTAACTAAAGCTGGCGCCGTAATCTTCGATAAGTTTACAAGCGTACAATGCGCAGTCGGTAGTGCGCTTAGGCTCGACAACTTTTCACATTTCATTATTTGGCCTTACGACCTGCAGTGCAAGCTGAAGATGACTGTCTTAACACTGTCTTGCCATCAGTGTCCATTGAACATGTATAGCCTCGAGAGAGGAGAAGTAACCACTCTTCAAGGCCGAAGCAATACGTCATTTAAACCTTTTTCGTGCAGGTTTTGTCCTAATGGGGCAAATTGTTCTCGGAATATCTTTGCCAAACCGAACTACTGGGGTTATCCTGACTCCAGTGGCCGCATGCAGTCACTCAAGTTTGTTCACTGCCCACCAAGTTACTGCGCTCCAACAACTGGCAGACAGATCACAAATCTGTCAGTGTACAATAGATGCTATGGCAACCGAGATGGCATTATGTGTGGAAAATGCAAGAATGGATTCACGGAGACTCTGTTTAGCAAGAAATGCGAACAAAATGTAAACTGCAAGGATAAATGGGTTTTGATTCTGATACCGATTTACGTTGCGACATTAGCCTTGCTCTTTATTTTTGAGCCACCGATTATAAAAATCCTTGTAAGAAACACTCTTTGGTTTAGAAGAACACTCCCTTATATGATGGAGTATCAACCTCTTGCTCGGAGGGATAATTTCTCGAAAGGTTTCACAAAGATCATCTTCTATTTTTATCAGATCGCCAGCTATCTCACTTTGCAGTCTTTCACGGAGATGGCCAGAGAAGCACCATATCTCTCGTTCTTTATAGGTCTTTTCAACTTCCAAACAAGAATTTCACAAGGAGGTTTGGGTTGTCCGTTTCCTGGACTGACTGTTGTAACAAAAGAGCTGATACATGCTCTAGTCGTTATAGCGACGTTGCTCGCAATACAATTGATCTTGGTGCTGCATTTTTGTTTTAACAAACTGATGAAGCGACAGCCTCCAACGAAGGCCCGTTATTACGGAGCCACCCTGCGAACCCTGTTGCTTGGATATGCGATTCTGGCCAACGCGTCTCTGAAGCTTTTGACCTGTGTTCCTGTTCTGGGCGAAAGGAGATTGTTCTTTGATGGGAATATCAAGTGCCTTGCGTGGTGGCAATACCTACTCATTGTTTTCATTGTCGCCTTCCTTATTCCTTTCGTAGTGGTCATCCACTGGGGTGCGATGAAGCTTAGAAGAAAACGTATCTCAGTAGAGCATTTCATCATAGCCTGCTTCTTTCCACTAGGTTTTCTCCTCTACTGGCTCCTTCAAAAGTTCCTTGGCTGGAGGTACCATAACCAGGTCGCAAGCGAGTCACAACAAGTGATCCTGAAAGTTTTGCATGATCCGTTTCGTTCTCCAACCCCGGGACAAACTGGAACCTTATACTGGGAAAGCGTGTTCATTGGTCGACGATTCCTGCTTCTTTCTTACCAAGTCTTCTTCCCAGATCCTCTTGTGCGCCTTTTCTGCATGGCAATAACATGCGTACTCGTCTTCACGTGGCACGTGGCTACCAAGCCGTTCCGAGACTGGAAAGCAAACGTCTTGGAAGCAATCTGTCTCGCTGTTTTAGTGGTCATAGCAAATATCAACCTTGTGCAGGCTTTCTTTCTGTCGGCTGGAGCTACACCTGAAGGTTCAGTCAAAAGTAATGTCAATATTCTGCAACAAATTGAGATCATTCTGCTAGGAGTTTTTCCATTATTTTTGGCTTTGCTGCTTCTCTTTGCTGTTATTTCCCAAGTGCTCCGCTTAATTGTACTGGTATTCAAATTTCTGGTCCATCTATTTCGTAAAATATTTACATTTGCGATTATTCGACAAATTAGGGCAAGGAGACAGCAGTACGATTCCATAAACTAAGTAAAACCAAGCGTCGAGAACGACTCAAACTCATGAATGACTTCAATAGAGAATAAAGGGACAGAGTGGAAAACGTTCAGTCTAACCCTTGGCATATATGAATTTCACTAAAGTTATTTTTAGTCCGATTCAACGTGTGAAATCAATTGGCAGTTAGTTTCCGGAGAGGACTGCAAACTTTGGTTCAGTATTGTCGAGAGAGAATTCAACAGTCGCAATCACAATATTCTGCGCGCATTGTTTGCTTTAAGCAAGTCGCGCGTGGACTTGATGACCTTTTCAAAAAATCGATTGAAATGTGCGGACATCTCAGAAAATAGGCTCACGTTATATTACAACTACTAAAAATAACTTTAGTGAAATTCACATCCAAGCCAACGCCTTACGTGCATCACACTTCTTGGTCAAGAGAGGATAAAGGGGACAGAGAAGGCATCCCCTATACACACCCTATTCCATAGGTAATTCGTCTCGAGTTATTTTTAGAATCGGGATAAAGTTACCTCGCGCGCTGCGTGGATGTTTCGTGGAGGTTTTGCATGACTTAACACCAAAACATGTCGGGCGAAAGGCAATGAAAGCGTAAAGAGATCGAGAGCATTCCTGAATATTGAAGCGAAATGAGTCGGCGCTCACCTGGACTCTTTGACAACCCATGAAATCAGTTTAACTCGAAGTTGTCGTTACCTCAGTGCTTTAATAAAATGAGAAATTTCGCCGGTCTATTGAAGCCGGTCGTTTGTACAATAACGCAAGTAGCAAGTAATATTCATATACATGTAATTAGTTTTACAAATTTGAATTTTATTGTAGTTTTTTTAAGTTGTTAAGCGCTGTTGATCAGTGAATGTAAATAGCACTCTAGAAGTTATTAAATTATCATCATTATTATTATTATCATTATAGGACGCCAAGTGTTATTTTTTGCAGAATAATAAAAGACTAATAAAAGAATAAATGTCAAACCAGAAATTGCTCTCTTTAAACTGTAAATTATAAATGATCCTGAGAGAATATTCAGTGTGTTAAGGATTTCCTTCCTGCACTGTTAGCTCTATACAAGAGAGGAAGGGCGATTCTTTTTTAATTTCCGTTTCGCTGACACAGCTTTAGCAGAAATCTCTCTTTAGTCGTTTTCGTCGACAAAACGAATAGCAATATCGCTCTCCGCGTCTTCCGCCATTTTTTTCCGCCTCAATTCGTGAAGGACGCGTGGCTCTGAGCGTGGGTCATCCACGCGGAACACATTCGTGCTATGTGATTGGCTGTTGTCTAATCCCCCTTGGGATCTGTGGTCTTAAAAATAACTCGAGACGAATTACCTATGGAATAGGGTGTATACGGAGGATGCCTTCTCTGTCCCCTTTATCCTCTCTTGAAAAGTAGAAATGACTGTGCAAAAGATAAAATAATTTTTTTCTTACTCGTCAATTTTGGAGACAAGGTGTCTCACGTTCAAGAATCCTATTACATTTATGACTCACGAGAGGAAATCCAGAAATACTTACCTTTTTCATGTGCTAAATTCAAGTGAAATATTATAATATTGAATAATATTGTAGTTAGGTAAACATTGTTGTCTTTGGTTGGTAATAATCAGTTAAAGAAGAGTGCACATTTTAAAATCTCGAGCGTGGTGCAGGAACAGGACATTTCAGAGTAATTTTTTTAAAGAAAATTAGGAAATTGATTATTTTTCATTTTGGCATTCTTAGAACTAGGTGAGTACACACAAAGCGACATGTCCCTGCAACACATCGCCGCTACAATCGACCTAATTCGCTGCATCTGTACCGGAATATTTTGTAGAATTCTTTTTGCCTTCGACAAAATCTTGTCGCTGCAACACTGAAATCGCACAAGATCAAATCGGTTCGAATGTTATTTACTTTGCAGTTTCTCGAGGCGACCAAATTCTGTCGCGGAGACAACGACGTGTCACGACGTGTCACCACGAGGTGGTGCTGCAACTTGCCGCTCACCCCGTACACCAGGAGTGGTTGTTTTGCGCAGCGACGTTTTGCAGCGACGGTTGCTTAGTAGGTTCCGACCTTTAGAATGTTACAAAACCCTAAAAGCTTCTTTTTTAAAATAAAACATACTGTAGAGGCCCTAAGAGTCTCTTGGAACAATTATTTAATGACAATTGACAATTTGCAAAGTAAAAAACAGGAAAATAAACATATTTTTGCAAGTTACTTCTAAAGTTACTTACCGTGTTTTCTCGAATAATGGCCGTCCCACGATTAATTGCCTCCCTCGAATAATCGCGCCCCTTTGACGAAAATGTTTAAAATAATCGCCTCTCTCGAATAATCCCCCCCACACACCTATAGGTTACCCGCTAGGGATACACTGATGAGTAAACTTGAGGGTTGAAGCTATGGTGCAGTTTGATCCACCAAAACTGATCAGCCGACGATTCAAGCTCTGACCCCGAGGGCACTGACATTGAAAATTAATCAAGGAACCAAATTGAGAACAGTTTAAAAGCCAATGTTCAGTTTATTTGATGTGATTATTATTTTTTTTTATTTAATGGGAAAATAGAACAAAATATTTAGGGCGCTAGCAATGTTTGAAATAATCACCCCCCTCGAATAATCGCCCCTTTTGGTGCGAAAAAAAAAATCGCTCTCGGCTATGAGGAATTACGGTATAAAAGACTAAAAGACTTTTAAGACTAAAATTCATAATTTCGAACCTCATTAATTGTAAATAGAGTTATTCAGAACTTTACAGAGGCGTGACAAAATTGATAGATAGCACAGAGTTTCCAGAGTTCCTAAAAACAAAAAACTGAAGTCAACATAACAATGATGGAACAGGTGCACCCAACGACAGTTTTCTGTAAAATATCTGTTCGGAGAAGCAAAAATTGTTTTCGACGCTTATCTAATAAATTCGCTACAATTTTCTGAATTTTGCTGCCCAGATTAAGTTATTTTTCGCAGAAAAAGGAAACCTAAAATTTTCGGATTCGAAAATGGAAAGAGGGACCAGAAAAATTCTCACAGTCGCAAAATTTTAAATTGCATCTAAAATTTTGGGAAAAATAATACAGTAACTGAAGCCCTTGTAATTTCGAACTAGGAGACTCAAGTTGCCCGAGGATGACCGAACAGAAATAAACTTTATGGCGCCGATTAGAATGTATTCATAAAGGTCTAAAAATTCTCTGGATAGCCTAAAAAGTGTTTTCAATGCACATAGGAGGAAACTGTCTTTAGGCGCCCCCGATGGTAAATGAATAAATGTATTAAATACACAACTTATCCAGTTGCAAAAAGAACGCCTGAAAACACTTAGGATTTCGAACCCTGGCTTCTGCAATACCCCTGCAGCCAGGTGCAGCACCGACTAACACCTGGTTATTAAGGAGTTACAAAAGGTTACAGGGGGTTAGAAGGGGTTACGAAGGGCTAAGGAGGGTTACAAGGAGTTACAGGGGCTTACAAGAGGTTACAGGAAGTTACTGGGGCTTACAAGGGGTTACAGGGGGTTACAGGGGGTTACAAAGGGTTACAGGGGCTTACAAGAGGTTACGAAGGTTAACAGGGAGTTACAAGGGTTACAACGGGTTACAAGGGTTTACAGGGGGTTACAACGGGTTACAGGGCGTTACAAGGGGTTACAACGGGTTACAAAAAATTACAAGGGGTTACAGAGGGTTACGAGGGATTACAAGGCGTTACAGGGGGTTACAAGTGGTTACAAAGGGTTACAGGGGCTTACAAGGGGTTACAGGAGGTTACAAGGGGTTAGAGGGATACTTACAAGGGGGGTTACAGGAGGTTACCAGGGGTTACAAAAGGTTACAGAGGGTTAAACGGGTTACAGGGGGTTACAAGGGGATACAAGGGGTTACAAGGGGGTACAGGGGCTTACAAGGGGTTACAGGAGGTTACAAGGGGTTAGAAGAACTTACAAGGGGTTACCAGGGGTTACAAGGGGTTACAGGGGGTTACAAGGGGATACAAGGGGTTACAAGGGGGTACAGAGGGTTACAGGAGGTTACAAGGGGTTACAACGGGTTACAAAAGGTTACAGAGGGTTACAAAGGGTTACAGGGGGTTACAAGGGATTACATGGGATTACAAGGAGTTACAAGGGGTTACCAGGGGTTACAAGGAGTTAGAGGGAGTTACAAGGGGATACAAGGGGTTACAAGGGGGTACAGAGGGTTACAGGAGGTTACAAGGGGTTACAGAGGGTTACAAAGGGTTACAGGGGGTTAAAAGGGATTACATGGGATTACAAGGAGTTACAAGGGGTTACCGGTGGTTGCAAAGGGTTACGAAGGGTAAGAAGTGGTTTCAAGGGCTTACAGGGCGTTACAAGGGGTTACAGGGGATTACAAGAGGATACGAAGGGTTACAGGGGGCTGCAAGGAGTTACAGGAGATTACAGAGGCTTACAAGAGGTTACGAAGGGTTACAGGGAGTTACAAGGGGTTACAGGGGATTAAAGGGGGTTACAAGAGGTTACAGGGCGTTATAAGGGGTTACAGGGGGTTACAACGGGTTACAGGGCGTTACAAGGGGTTACAACGGGTTACAAAAAATTACAAGGGGTTACAGAGGGTTACGAGGGATTACAAGGCGTTACAGGGGGTTACAAGTGGTTACAAAGGGTTACAGGGGGTTACAAGGGGTTACAGGAGATTACAAGGGGTTAGAGGAGCTTACAAGGGGTTACCAGGGGTTACAAAGGGTTACAGGGGTTACAAGGGGGGATACAAGGGGTTACAAGGGGTTACAGGGGTTAGGGTTACAGGAGGGGTTACAAGGGGTTACAACGGGTTACAAAAGGTTACAGAGGGTTACAAAGGGTTACAGGGGGTTACAAGGGATTACATGGGATTACAAGGAGTTACAAGGGGTTACCGGTGGTTGCAAAGGGTTACGAAGGGTAAGAAGTGGTTTCAAGGGCTTACAGGGCGTTAAAAGGGGTTACAGGGGATTACAAGAGGATACGAAGGGTTACAGGGGGCTACATGG